GGTAATTCATTCAACTCGCCGAGCAGACCCCTGGCAGGTCCCCGCCGTCGCTGCCGCCCTCCTCTCCGCAAAGCCAAAGCCAAAGGCGACGGCCAAACCCACCCAGCAACCACTGCAGACAGTCGACACGAGAACGTTTCAGAAAGCAGATTATATTGCTGGCTTTTTAATGTGCCGTGCTCTGCAAGGAACTTTCAAAAATGCTGTGGGCTCCCTCTGCTACTGAATGGAAGATACATATTACAGCAAAAAGCATTACAGTTCATTTTTTCCCTGATTTTCCGCCCCCTTAACTCTCCCTTTTTGGCAACAACTTTTTGCAAAAGATACATTTTTCTAGGTTGGAAAATTTCAAATTTTATTTCTCCTCAGTCTTGAATGATCTCCAAGTTAATTTCTTCACCCGCAGACTTCTCATTAATTTTTTTCCCCCTCTTTTCCTTTTTTGCTTTCAGTCTTTTCTACAGTACTTCCTCCACTTTGGAATCATTTGAGAGTGACAAAGAAAATCAAACAAACTGGGAATTTTCCAGTTTTGGAGAAATTTTGAAAAGTTACAGAACAGAGGAGACAATTAAAAAAAGAAAGGAAAATAATTTTTTAAAATTACATTCAGTTACAAAGGGGAGAAAAAGCAGGAAAAAGAGGGAAAATCAAAACAGTTAAATATTTAAAATTATTTTTCAGCAGTATTAAAACTGCTCCATTTCAAACCTGAAAGCAGCAGCGAATTTGATTTTTTTCCACAGACAAATATAAACAGTAAAAGGACAAAGTACACTGAGATTAAATAAGAAGGAAAATTGTCTTTTTACAGACAGAGAGCGACTGAGGAAAGCAGAAAGTTCTTACGTGCTCGAATGCTCTCAGCAGCGTCTAAAGCCACCGAGACCTTGTGCATCTGAGAAGCAAAGGCTGAGGGCTTGGGGTCCAGGTTTGTTCCTAGCCACCTCTCCTGGCTTGCAGGCCATTAGGCTGAACAAAAACCTGCATTTCACACATGGACGTGGAAGCTGCTTCTACACCAGCAAACGTCCCAGTGCCAGGGAGCGCTCCCGCATGGTGGCCCTCCATCACCTGGTAGCGTCATCGAGGCGTTAGACCTCTCGTGCCGCACAAAGCTCTCCCTGGCCCATGCCAACAGACGGTCTCCCCCAAGGTTTTCCATGGCCCTATTTTGGAGGTAAAAGAGTTCCACGGTATGGCAGTGGGATGCTCTGTGCCAGAGCGGTCCCAGGCACGTTTGGTTTGCTGGCACGGCCACGGAGGTGCCAGCAGGATGCTCTGTGCCAGAGCGGTCCCAGGCATGTTTGGTTTGCTGGCATGGCCACGGAGGTGGGCCTCTCGGCTCTCCCGCTCTCTAGCCTGCGCGACAGCGACGTTGATGCACTGAAGCCACTCCTCGGCGTTCTTCTCGTCTTTGGCCTTGAAAACATAGGTCTTGCTGTCGGTGAAGATCTCAAAGGCCCGGGGCAGGCTGCGGTCCCTGCGTTTCTTTGCCACCACTTTAACGCTCTGCACCTTGCTGAGCTCAATGGGGCAGTCGTCAGGGTCGTCTTTCTGAAACACAGGGAAGACAAACAGAACCAAGTTCATCCAGTAGAGCTTCCACTGTCTTAATGAACCGTTGATGTCTCTAGAGCTGGGCTTGTAAACATTGCTCATGTGGGCAAACGCACTGATGGAGACTTCCCAAAAGAGTCTTAGGGGAGTTAGAAACCCCCCTCCCACGCAGTGCCACGCTCACCTACTGAACCCCATTGGCTTTCATGGGGTGTCATGGTCTACTGCACCCAACGGCCAAGGGTCCACAGCAATGCCCACGAGCTCTGCCCCCCCCAGCATCTGCACTTTTTAGTTCCAGCTTCAGCTATTAACATGGGCTTGGATTTTCCTTTCTCTGGCTTTTCATAATGGTGGTCTTTGTTAACGGAGCCATGCACAACTTGTGCCGATGGCAAATGTTTCCTGGGTACAAAAATCAGCCAGTCCTCGGGGACTGAGGAAAGCTCTCCTCTCTTAAGCAGTGATAAGTTGTTCCCCTTCTCAGAGTCTCCACCTGAAAACGGAAGCAGCATCCCCTTTTGTTGGTTTTGAAAACAGAACAGGTACCTTTAGTCTGACCCAGGAATGTGAGGGAAATCACGGCGTTTCTCAGTGGGGAATGAGAATACGGGATAGCTGCAATTTTGTTTGAAAACGTATAAAGTAGCTATGTCTAGGAAATCTTAGTGTCATTGTAAGAAACATGATGCAGGGAGCGTAACAGAGAGTTGTACAAAGTCATGGAAGTTTCCTGCGGGAGAAGAGATTTGTGAGCTCATAAAAAATGTACAAATTGGGTCTCCAGGTGAGAAGTTTAAGCGCAAGGCCCTGATTCCTCAAGAATATTTATGTTTCTCCTGTTGACCTTCTGATACTTTTTATCAAGAGAAGGATATTTATGTTTCTCCTGTTGACCTTCTGACACTTTTTATCAAGAGGAGTAAGGCAGATTTTCCAAAAGCTTTCTGCTGCTATCATAGAGGAAAGGTCTGGACTGATCTGAGTGAGAATTAGTGGTTAATTATCTTGCAGGAGCTGAGCACGACTCGGGAGAGGCTGCGGCGTGGGAACTGCTGTCTCCAGAGCTGCTCTGCCTGCCCTGGCTTCGTCTGCTCTCCCAGCAGGCCAGGTCTGAAGTGCAGGGCCAGAACTGGGCAGGGAGACTTCTCCTGCGATAATGTCTCAGTCCTTCTGGGAAAGAACCAGGAACATTTTACTGTTCTAAGGAAAAGCTCATCTGAAAAGACCATCCAAAAGAAGTCCCAAGCCCAACAATAGCTGTGATTCCTCTCTTGATAGTCCCCTACCCTTACCACTGATCTGCCATTTTTCCACATCCATAATGAATACCCAGGATGAGTTTCCCAACTTTTGGAGCTCTTCTGTGTTGCATACGTAAGTATTATTTGCAGTCAAGGTCTCCTACATTCCTGAAGTGCCATAATCCCTGGGCAGTCCCCTCCCTTCTGACTCAAACCAGCATTGAATTCCATCCCTTGACCAGAGCAGCTCTCCAGCAAGAGAGGCTGGCACGAAGCCCTTGGCAGGGCCAGCGGATGGGTGAGCAGACAGACCCCTCCGGGACACGGGAGGTCCCTGGGCTGCAAATGGCAAAGACAGCGCAGAGCCATCGCCTTCCCAGCACATCTCCATCCCCTAGTGTCACTATTGCTTGTTCCAGGATGGGACATTTATTTGTCTCTTTCATTTTTTATTAGGGACCCCATTCCAGACCTGAGAAATTTCCTTCAAATGATAATTTCCCACTAAAATGTTCAGTTCTAACCAAACGTCATTCCATGAACAATGAAGTTCATCTCCAACTTCACATGGGAACAAATGTTTCCAGAGCCATCATTGATTCCCCGTGCATGACCACAGGACCACAGCAGTGGCCCACCCTCTCCTGCTTCCACAAACACTGATTAAGGCTTTATCAACAGTGTTAAGCTGGCTCTGCATTGAAACCTCACCTGGGATAAACATTATGAAAATTTTATCACAGAAAATGCAAAGCAACGATAGACTCGAGAACCAAAACCTTGCACCCCATGAGCCAGACCCTGAGACTTAGAAGCCCATCTAGCAAAAATGATATACTCCCTTCATTACCACACAGCGTTTGACCACAAGTTGCTAACGAATATTGATTGTACCCTAGGCACATTTCTGTGGAAGGAGTTTACCACAATTTTCCAGGAGTTTAGGATGTGGCTCTTTTTCGGACCTCTTCTATTTTGTTTTTCTCCTGCCTCCCCTTTACCCACTGGCCATGCAGTTGCTTACACAGAGCAAATATTGTCCACATGGTTACTCTGACGAAGGGAAGGTTCATGGTGGGGCTCCAGGAATAAGCAGGCACAGCCAGCTGGCCATCTCACAGTACCTCCTCTGTGTTAGGTTTGTACTTTTAAGTGAGCAGCGTGTAAAGTCCAAACACCCACGCAGCACCCAGCCCTGCTCAACACCAGCAGAGACGACGGGGCAGAGCTGTCATGCTCAGCCAGGCAAGGACTGTCTGGCCTTGAAGACTGAAACAAGCTCCAGATGCAGCTGGGCAGGAGCCTCTACCATCGCTTTAGCCAGCCACAGCCTGCAGCCCTGCATCTTGCAATGCTTTTGGCACCGGTACCCAGCCAGCGAGGTGCGGGGCTGGTCCTCCCGCCGGGTGCCGGAGGTGCGCAGGAGCAGACCTCCTGTGGGATCTGAAAGTCACACTTTTACTGTCCAAACCACTTCTGTGAGGCTTCATACCTCCAGCCCTGCTTAAAGGGCTTAACATTTTCTGTTTGGTGTCTGCAACAGTCAGCCCAGGGCACGTGTGCAACCTAAACTGGTGGGCTCAGGGTTGCTCCAGGCTGCAACCCAAGCAATAGTTAACGGCAGGACTTGACTCTCGAATTTAGGCCAAAAAATGTAGAAGTAACAGGATATAACACACCAGCTTGAAAGACTGATTACCCAGGTGCAATAATGCCACTGCTGTCCCTGCGGGGCTGGATGCCAGCCTGCTACACTGACAAACTAGTCCAGGTATTTGTGTTCAACTTTAAAAAAAAAGCAAAGAAGCCTTGAGTTTGCCAGTTAGAAAAGGAAAGTTAATCTATATGAATTACATTGTTGAGCAAAATCTGCTGTTCAACAATCTAATCTGCCAGCTTCACCTGCCTGCCATGCGTTACACATTCCTCACGTGAACACGGGGAGCACTGAGAATGCAACTCCAAGGAGGTGATTTCTGCATGCTAATTGCATCCCAGGAGTAATCAAGGTATTCTGATGTGCCTTACGCCTGGCTTGTTTGGAGAGCTAATTAAAGCCATTCTGTTAAATACATTTCTATAAGCCAATTGACTTGGTAAAAAATGACAATTATTCTGACACCCTTTCAAAAGGGAACATCAGCCAGCACTGAGCTGCAGCTGTGGTACACATATGGATTAAACTGTCTTCAGAATCTCAACCAAAACACCAGAAAAAGTCATTAGAAAGTAAGGAAAAGGCTGTTTCTTGAACCACTTGCTTTCAGAAGGATTGTATTGTCCCACGAAAGGCAGGACACCCTGTTGTATTTCCTATAGGAAGGGGCTCAGGAAGCCATTTAAGAAGCTTAAAGAGCTGTACTAGGTTTCTATAAAAATAAAGATTATTTACCAGAAATATTAAGGTTTGGCTATAGTTGGAAGATGCTGCTATTTTTGGATTATCTGAGAGACAGCTCTTACAAAAATAAATAATCTATTCTGCACAATTGTCATTGCAAAAAGCTGAAGAAAATTACTTTCTAGTAACTGAGAAGTAATAACTAATGAGGACTGGATTCAATTACCTGCTCTTCCATGCCCTGGGACACACTTGTCTCTGAGCCCCATCGGTATAAATTTCAAACAATTTCACAGAAATTTCAGCAGAATTTATCTGAATTTAGATGAGGGTAGAAGGGAAAGCAAAAAAACCTCCGTTCCTTTGGGAGAAAAGCATTTTAGCATCACCTTGCTTTAAACACACTTGTATTTCCTGCACAAATAACACCAGTTATAACGCTGTCACCTCAAGAATAGTTATTAATGTACAAAAGCAGGCAAGACCTTCAAAAAAGGTGAACAGTTGCTTGATTTTGGAGACTGCCCCGAGGTGTTCAGAAGGGCCTGACTTTCCAGATACGCTGAACATAACCATCTCTTCCCCGAACACTGCTGGTCCCATGAAAATTGGGGACCCAGAAATGACAGCTCACTTGCAGCACGTTGGCTGTGGCTGCTACATACCTGGCTGACCCATGCCAAGCACTTCGCAAGTGGAAAAAATACATTTACCTGAGCAGAACTAACTGAATTTGTGTTTATTCAAGGAAATAAAGAATCACTGGTGTCAAGACTAGAAACTATTTTTTAACCCACTGTAATTCCTGCAGGAACAGAAGCTTTTGCAATATCTGAGAAGTGACCTTAGGATGCCTCGAGGCAGAGAGGACGATGCTCAGGCACAGGTCACCAGCTCGTATAAATTACTGAGACATGGGAGCCGCAGTGCTGAGCCCTGGGCATTTGTTGCCTGAAAAAGAGCAGCGCTAATCTAACACTCTCGAAAATCTCACGTTCTTGATCCAGAGATAAAAATATAACTAAAGCCAGTGAGCAACCCCTTGGCTGAAGTTAGCCATGTGGCGTACAGAGACCACGAGCAAAGCTGAGTGGTAAAAACCTCTGGGAAATGGCATTGGGGAGGAGGAAAGAGAGAAATCAAACTGACGGTCTTCTGACTTACGGATTTTCCTTTCCGAAAAAGCAGCTGGTTGCCAGCCAGAGTGAAGTAGCGAGTTTTCCACCTTTTGATAAACTTCCACCGGACTTGCTTCTCTTTAAGCTTGCCTTCAATCAGAGGTTGGCCATCCTGATTCACAACTGGGGAGGTGAACACACAACGAGGGGTTATTTCTGCCCTTCCTTTGCCCCAGCCGAAAGCCAGGCTTTTGCTGCGACGCAGAAAAGTTTTTTGTGGTTTAGCTGTGTCAGCTCCAGGACCACATTCCTCCCGAACTCAAGCATCCAGCTATCACCTCAGAAAGACATTTCAGCCCTTAGTCATGTTTTGCTTGGGAAGCCTAGCAGATGGAGCTGACAGCTCGGACTCCCCGGTCCATCGCTTTTTCTATTCCCTTAGCCATCACGTACTTATCCCCACCATTACGCCTCCCAGTTGTTCCTCAGCCCTGCAATAATAATTTAAAATTTCATGAAAGTGAAAGTAAGCATTTATGTTGTCTCTGAGGCTTTAATCCACGCTACAGAGTTCAGTACAGCTATATGCCTGCTGTGCAGTATTTTGGATAGGAATATTTTGAGGATATCACTCTCCATTAACTGCAATAGCTTGCTGCGTTGCAGCAGCAGCCCTGTGGAGAAGGAATTAAGAGCCAGAAGCGGGATGTCCACGTGAGGCTGAGAGATTCGGCACCATCCCACGGGAACGAGCGCCAACCTCTCATAGGTAATTCAAGCCCAGAAATGTGACTTTTTGCTGAGAAAGGGATTGGTGAGTCCCAGGGCTTTGTTTCCCAGGCAGGACCCTTCCCGTCCTCGCCCTCCCGAGACACAACTCTTCTTCCCTTGGGAAAGGGAAGTGTTTATTATCAGCCCTCCATTATCCAGTTCGAGCAATAACCCAGCCCTGCATTTTGCAGAGGTCACTCCGTGTTACATCTTTTTCATCTTTTCTAGTTCTCTCTTCAGGAATATTTCAAAAGTCATTTAACATTAGCAATCCATTTTGTAAAAAATGATCCTTACAACAAACCCAGAGTTACTTACGTCCCATAAATCTCACAGCACTGACCGGTTGGGAATGTGATGGTTTCTCTCACTTTTGCATTTCTAAAATAACACAATTTATTTTGACATCTGGACTGCCAAAGGCCAGAGCAACTCACAGCTCAGCCCCCAGGGACCCGGTGTCTGTCCTGCTCCCTCAGGAACAGTCAGGGTCTTTTCATCGCGTTGCCCATTGAGGACATGGATGTTTTTACCATCTTGTAGCAAAATTAACTTTACTAACTATTAGCGTGTCATTGGCCAATAACACTGCCTCGCCTGCACGCTGGGTGGTAAGAGCTAAAACAGCATTTCTGCCATGCATGCACGTAAATGCCATCCTTACTGAGCCTACTTGAAATACAAGATAGGTAACTCTGCCCACGCCAAAGACGAGGAAGGAGGAGAAGGAGAGACACAAAAGCTTCTGTCCCCCTGATGACCTGCGCTACAGCGCGTTGCCCACAAATAATCTAAAATGTAATTAAAAATACATAGTGTACAGCATAGAGTTCAATAACCGTAATGATGGTAATTGGCATGGAAACAGAAATACAGGCAAACTCAGCTACCTCACCTTCAGCTCGGCCACTTTCCAGTCTGTTCATCTTCTACGTGGTCTGAAAAGTGGCTTCAATTTGCCTTAGAAAAATAACTTATGTTTGTCACTATAGATTTTCCTTCAATCAGTTCCCTTAAGAACCAAGTAAAGTCTCTAGGAAAGGGAAAGCAACCCTTTTTTTCTCTTATTGCAAAGTTATTGCTATATTTAAAATTCAAAGCACTGTGTGAATATTGGGAAGCCTTGCGCTTTCATTTACAGCACATTTTACAAGGTTGTGGCCACCTCTACCGCCAGCCCTGTGACCATGCTGCTCACCCGTGATCAATATTCACTGGCACTTACCTCGGCTGGAAGCATGTAGGGTTTTGGGAACTGGAAGAGCATTCCCAAACCTTGCACGCAAAGAGGAATTTTCCAGCACAACAAAAGCCCAGCAACCAAGGGGATCACCATGGGCTTTAAACCATGACCACAGAGCAACCTCAAGCCACTGCCCTTCACATATGGAGCAAACAATTTAAAAATTCTCTAATAGCATGGCTAAGTTTCTTTTTCCGTTCTCTTCTATTTTTACACTGATAGACAGGACATGATGGAACAGATAGACTAAAGAGCAGTCCAAGGCGTAAGCAGTCTGAGAACGGATGTTTTTTGATGTGATGTTTAATTTGGAGCCTGTCCCAGCATCTGTCAGATGGTCAGTTATCCTCTGGCTGGCCGTACTTGCATACCTTAGCATGAAAGTTTATCCAGTAATGCTTTTGCTTGAAAGTGCTATCGTCTGCGCACGAGCCTTTCAGAGCCCCAAACACCTTAGGCTGGTGTGATGCTGAGGATGCGAGGTGAGCAGGGTGGCCAAGCGCAGCCACCAAAGGTAGCTCCTGGGGTTTCAAAGGCTTTATAGCTTTTTGGACACATACCTCTCTTCACTACCTCCTGTCTGGTAGAGGAAAAACAAACAATGCAAATACAATGCATCAGATTTAGATAAAGAATGTATGTTTTCCCCAGCGTTGTTTATATTGGCAGAGAGGCAGGCTTTGGGGGTCTTCAGTGTGTACTATTTCAATTTCCTCAAGAAAGACTATAAATATTTCTGTCTCTGTAGATAGGGAGTTTTTGGAAGGACATGGACTGAATGAAAAGGGGGGTGGCTAAGTTTCAGCTTCAATGGGGAACTGCAGCTGTGATTTCCGCGATAAAAAAAGGTCACGCTCTGTTCCTCGCAGCCCGCTGCATCCCCAGCTCGACACAGCAGCTCATTTCTGTATGTTTTCATGCCAGCACCGATGCGTTACATCACCCAACCTGGCATGGGACAAAGTAAAACTAACTAACCCTGTTCAAACAGAGCAGATAGCAGCTGAAATCCAGCTCACACAGGTAACAAGATGCACACAAGACATCATCAAGTGCCACTGAACAAAAAAGTACTGGAGAAAATAATAACCCATTTTGAGCAAGAAAAAAGCTGGGTTTTTTTCAGATAAATTTTTTTCTGCAAAAAACTTGGGTCCATCAGACTGAGGTTGAGTCTTGGCTTTTTCACCCGAGCAGAACCGTGCGGTCATTTCTGCCTGTGGCTGCGCTGATGTCCTGTTGGAGGGGACACCATCTGCCAACAGCAGCTTCGTGGGGGAAACGTACTGGGAACAGAAGGGCTGTTTTTCTTTCTCAACAGCTTTCTAAGGCTGTATCAGGTATTATGTGGCATTTCTGCAGCTGAGGTTTGCTGGGATACTCATAATGGTCATCCTTAAGAGTCATTCCTCTTTGGGAGCGGAGCAAAAGGACAGCCCCATAGGGCCGGCAGCTGTCTAGCAGGTCTGAGTACAAGTCCTTGTGCTCTTGTACCAGCCACTTCATCTTCTGGTCACTTCGTTCCCCATTTATAAAATCAGCATTATAATTTGTCAGATTTGTGAGAACAGATAAAAATGTTTAAATTTTTATAATTAGTTTTAAACAGCATCTAAGTTGATATTTTGCTTATTGTGCAAATGCCTCATCAAATTTCTAACTTAATGATGTACAGGGTAATATCCCTGTCATTCCCATAATTTGCCATTCACTCTCTTGGTGGAGGATGTTTTCTCACCATAAGAATGTGCAGTTTGGTCAGGAAATTACCATCTCAGTAGCACGTGGGTGATAATAACAGGGCATAGCTCCATATTGTCTCCCAAGATGAAGTGTCAGAACTGCTATGACAAAGTCTACCCAGTGAGAGACAGAGAGCAAAAAGCTGTGAATCTGAGAAACATAAACCAGCAGCACCAAGTAGCGAACTTTCCTGGAGTGTGCATAAAAGAAAGAGAAGAGAACTTTAATAAAAAATGACAAAGATAGGCCAGGAAAAGAATTTTTACTCCTACATGATAACAATAAAGAATTCATAATGTGCACAGTGACTTTCAGAGCATGATGACAGCTGTATAAACATGTAGATAACAGCAAAAGAAGGATTTGATATGAAAAGACAATTAATTGCTCAGTGGTTGTGCATCTACCTGGCTCCTGGTCCCACAGGAATGGCTTTGATTCCAGTGCAGTATGAACATGCTTTAGCCCAAGCAAAAAAAGTTCGGGGACCAGAAGATGCTGAGATGGTTGGTGGTCAGGAATGCAACATGAGAAAGGAAGTGAATGTACAATTTTGGCCTAAAGTGGATTTTTATGGCCAAAATCTTTCAAAAACAGGATTTACTAAAGAAATGCTGATCTCTCTTTAAGCACCCGGTGGCTGGAAGCAATGCTAACAGAGCACTTCTCATGTACATCCACAAAGAATCCCATGGGGAATTCTGATGTCAGCTTCCAAAGTTGTCGTAATGAATCTGATGCCAGTATGTCTGAGGGTCTGATTAGAAGAAAAAGATTCATGAAAGATAAGAATGAAGCTCTTTTCCAATATTTTTCTAAGTCCTTTTGCTTATTTTCATTGCGGTTAACTTCATAAAATCACAGAATAATTCAGCTGGAAGGGAGCTGAAGGGGTCTCTTGTCCAACCTCCTGCTCAAAGCAAGGTCACCTATGGGGTCAGACTAGGTTGCTCATGAATTTATCCATCCGGGACTTGAAAATCTCAACAATATCTCTAGGCAAGCTGTTCCAATGCTTGATCATCCTCATGGTGGGAAAGCTTTCCTTTGTAGCCAGTCTGAACCTCTCTTGTTCCAATTTATGCCTGTTGTCTCCTGCCCTCCCACCACACACCACTGAAAAGAGCCTGGCTCGGTCTTCTTGGTGACCTCCTTGTGGTTATGGACAGACTACTATGAAGTCCCCCTTGAGCTCTGCCTGCACCAGCCTTTGTCCCTCAGCCCCTCCTCACAGGGCAAGAGCTTCAGTCCCCAAACATCTTGATGGAGCCTGTCCCAATCCTTACTGGGACTTCACTCAGTCACCACTGTAGCCATTCAGTGCCTGCTGTGTGCAAAGGAGGAGTAAGTGCATGGAGCTCTGTTAGCAAGGGACATCATGAGTAAATCCGTACTGCCTCAGAAATGCAGAGCTTTACTCTTCTGT